CTAACTAAAATAATTAGAATGTGATCAAGGGAGGCGCAGACCAAAACAAACATGAACGCACGTCCATTACATACTTGTTCACACTCTTTCTTTCTTAGTGTCTCTCACGTTGACACCGATTTTCTTGCCTATCATTTTAGCCACAATTTTGTAAGCCATTGTATTGATTATATATATGAGATCTTATGCAATCATAAGACTTGGCTTTCCAGAGAGAAAACAAGAGGAGCCCTCAAGAAAACAGAGAAAAAATGGATAAAAAAATGTTACGCAAGTGCTTGGTTATTTTTTCGATGATGGCGATGATCAGAACATCAACAGCGGCATATGCTGGGTCCTCGTGGCGCCAGGCCTCAGCCACTTTCTACGGCGACGAGACCGCCAGCGCAACTATGGGTAAAATTCAAATTCTTTTACATTATATTGTATGTAGAACACAAAGTATATGTAACTATTGGTCTGATTTAAGCACCGGTCTAATATGATAAAAACCAAAATTTTAGCCCATATAATTTTTTGAGGCTCCTTAAAATGTAATTGACAATTTTTTACATGACCATGATATGCATCGATCAGGTGGGGCTTGTGGCTATGGTAACCTATGGAACAGCGGCTACGGCGCAGCCACGGTGGCATTGAGCACAACGCTGTTCAACGATGGTTACTCGTGCGGTCAATGTTTCCAGATAAAATGTGTGTCATCGCCTAACTGCTACTACGGTGGACCAGCCACCGTGGTGACTGCTACCAACATTTGTCCACCAAATTGGGGACAAGACTCCAACAATGGTGGATGGTGTAATCCGCCACGTGTTCATTTTGATTTGGCTAAACCTGCTTTCATGAAGATTGCTAATTGGAAGGCTGGTATCATCCCGGTCTCATACCGCAGGTTAATCCACTACTCGACCACTACTCGACCAATATAGATGTGATTCTAGAGTATTTTAATTAAAATTCTTTAAATCATCTAAAAACTCATTTAAAATCAAATCACTTGAAATCTTCACAAATAGATTGAATACACCCTATAAATACATATGCAAGATTAGTCTCACCGGAGGAATAAATGCTTCATACTAAATACAAATTTTTTTTATTAAACAGATATTTTGATATATTTATATACAAGTCCGTCTCAATTTATATAATAATTCAAAAATCCTTTATAATATATAAATTTTAAGTTGGAACTTTGTTCGGATACACTATTTGCACGTGTTAAAAACGGCCCTTTTGTAATGTATATATATGCAGAGTGGCATGTAAAAGGACCGGAGGAATAAGATTCAAGTTCGAAGGCAATGGTTATTGGCTACTTGTGTACGTGATGAACGTAGGTGGTGCAGGTGACATCAAGACCATGGCTGTTAAAGGTAGCCGCACGAACTGGATCAACATGAGTCATAATTGGGGAGCTTCGTACCAAGCTTTCTCTTCTCTCTACGGTCAATCTCTCTCGTTCCGACTCACCTCTTACTCGACTCGTGCGACCATTTATGCTTGGAATGCTGCTCCGGCTAGCTGGAGTGCCGGTAAGACTTACCAGAGCAAGGCCAATTTCAGCTGATTGAATTCATATTGACAAAACCGGCCGGTATTTAAAGTTTACGGTTTTGCCACTTGTTCTTGAGGCTGGTTGATCGAGCGACTGAGCATTTTTTTTTAAATAATTTTCGTTTGGTTAATATATATAGTACAGTAATTAATTCTTGTATCCATCATTGG